TGGGAGGCGCCTGAGGCCACGTCGGGACCACCTCGAGCCGCCCTGGTGGTACCTCGGTACCGCAGTAGCGCGTTCTGCCTGTCAGCAGCCTCCTGAGCTTCACCCCTTACACCGCGTTTGCCTCCAGAAGCTGAGACTTCCCATTCATTTTATTATTTTTCCCTGTTCTAAGACTGCGTGGCCGTTTCCCGGTTGAAAGGGCTGCAGGGAGCGTGTCCCTCGGTGCCGGCGCTGCCCCCGCCGTGGCTCTGGGGGGTAGGAGGTGTCAGTCCCGCTATTTTCACTTGTGTAAATTTGTGATAACTTTGATAGATTCCCTCCTCCCCCTCCCGTAGCCTGTAATGCTCCCCAGTAAGTGACAGCTGGTCATTCACGTTCTGGTTTGCCCAGGTACCGTTATTCTTTGCTTTGACACCGAGGGAAGGGGTGGGTGACTCGGTCCGTGCCCCAGGGAGGTGGGAGCCACGGGAAATAAATCATTTCAGAGGTCATTTCAGAGCTTGCAGGAAAGGACTCTGATGTACTTATAGAATCGTGGAATGGTTGGGGTTGGAAGGGACCTCACAGCCCATCCAGTCCCACCCCTGCCCTGGGCAGGGGCACCTTCACTAAACCGGGTTGCTCCGAGCCCCGTTCAAGAACTTCTTCCATTGCTTATTCCCTCTGGATTTGGGCTCCCTCACCTTCAGCGTACACTGGCTCCCTGCAGGGGCATCTTGCTCAGCCTCTTCACATAGTTCAGAAATAAATTTCCAGTCCTAACAACTCTTTGCTAAGGGAATAGAGCTGTGTGGGTTGCACTCAGTGATCTTAGGGGTCTGTTCCACCCTGAACCATTGTATGGTTCTATATTGTGTTGCAGAATAATCCCCTGCTGCCCTTTTAACTCTGGGTACAAACCCTGAGTTAAGTGACCCTGTCACAGTGGGTCACTGTGGGATGTTGTAGTCAATAACTGCAACCTGCAGGTTGCTCCAGTACTTGTGGAATTGATTAAAGTGTAAATGGGATGTTTGCTGGACAAGATAAAGAACAACTAGAATCATCTTCACACCCAATGCTTCTCAGAAGTTTAGATAATTTGACAACATTTGACATAATTTGCCTTTAAAAGTCTGAGGTTATTTTCACCAGAATAGTTGAGGTGATTGTGATGTTGCATTTAGAGGTATTTATGACCTTGATCTTTTTATCACAATAAAGGAAGTAGAAGGAAGAGCAAACAAAGCTTTTCACAAAATATAAAGGACCTTAATACTCATGTTGTGGGTTTTGAAGAAGCCACACTTTCCACTGGAGTTGGTGAAGAGGGAGGACAGGAGGAGAGAAGCACACATGGAGCTTGTTCCAAGCCCAGGTTCAACCCTTAAATCCAGAACACTCTGTGTTTCCTTTGTGGGTGAGTTGTGTGCAATGAATCCCGAGTCTCAGTCTCACTGGCAGAGCAGTTTGTCACTCTTGGAGCTGTAAAGGACATCCCAAAAGCAGGAGCAGAGTGTGAACAGTGTAACAATGGCACTGCAGCCAGCCAGCCGCGTTCCTGGTGTGCAGCTCGGAGATGGGAAGAGCCCTTTAGCTGGGAGCAGCAGGAGCACGCAGGGATCTGTCCGAGCTCCAGGTACCTCTGCAGCCCGGGCAGAGCGTTCGGAGGAGGGCGGGAGCACGGCGTGTCCATCCCCCCGGCCGGGCCGGGCTCTGCTCTGTCCCCAGCGCGGTCCCGCGTACGGCCGGCTCCGGTTTCTATTGCAGCAATCAAAGCCGCAAGTCGCTCTCAACACAAGCTCGCACGGAGCAAATGCAAATACAGCTGCGCTGCTGTTTGTGTAAATCACCCAGGGCGTGCCCGGCACTCGGGCTGGAGGGTTAACACACCAATAGCTGCATTAATGATTGCTGCAAAATATGCAGAGTCCTTCCTCGGGCTGACCCAGTAATGTCAAGACCTGCTTGTGTGATTGCAGTCACAGCTCAGAGAGCACACACAGCCCCACAGAGGCCTTTTGTTCCTGCCTGGCTGGAGCACGGGGATCCACTCTGGGACACTGGGCAGGCACAGCTTGGAGCTTGGAGCTTTCAGTGCTCCTCCACGTTTGGTGCTCGAGGTGTGAGCCAAGAGCTGCGTGTGACAACACAAGGACTGGGACCAGGCGGGCCCTGGACAGTTCAGTCTGGATCTAGGGATGGAACAGCTGAACTGCATCATCCCACCAGCCCTGCTGGCATGGCACCATTTTAAAGGCAGAACTCTGACCACCCCTGCCACCCCAGACTTTCTGCAGCCACAGTCCATGCTCTCTTGTCCTAATCCCTCTCCTAGAAGCCGAAGTCCAGCCCTCCTGAGCACAGGAGATGTGGGGGCCACCATGTGCTGGCATTCCCAGAGTCACTGTTCTTGGGTGAAGGTCTCCCCTCCCTCAGGCTGTGTTGGAGTTTGGTGTCTGGCCACGGGCAGCTACCCTGGAGAACCTGTGTGGAGTGGCTTGGGGGTTTGGGGAGATGGCAGCCTCCAGAAGACAGGCCTGTCTCGTGGGGACTTTGTCCATGGGAAGAGCTCCTCCACCAGGAACTGTGGTAACAGCGCTCTGTCCTCTATGGGGACACAGGATTGACATGCCAGCTGCAGGGACACTCCCTCCAATGGATCCTGGAGCCCCCAGAGCCGAGGTGGCCTCACCCAGGCCCCGCTGCTTTGGCTGTGACACCCGGAGCCACCCGGAGCCACAGTGTCCAACTGGGGCCGTTTCCTTCCTCAGAACTTCACCCTGAAGCAACGGCTCGAACAGTTCACTGTCAAAGTTTCACTTCCCAAATAGTGCCGTGCTATAAATACCCTGTGCAGGGGATATGACATTTACTCCCACACACGAGGCAGGCGTGCTTTGTGCCTTGCGTGCTCCAGGCCTTAACCCTTGAGTAAACACGAGGTAAGGAGCCTGTGGGGCAGACCCAGCTTGCAGGCTGGGGGGGGGCTGCTGAGGAGTAAATGGGAGGAGAATTGCACCAGGATTATTGCAGGTAGAGTGGAAAAACTCCCCTCTTCCAGCTCTTTGGACCTCATGGAGCTGAGCATGTTGCCTTAGGAATATCAGTGCTTTGTTCCACTCTTATCAACAGATCTCAGAGCACTTTCCTGCCCAGACCAAAGAAGTACTAAAGGGAGTTTGCTTTAATTTTCAATTCTGTAACTGATTTATGATCCTTGACTAATTTCTTAGTTCCTTGTTTCAGTTCCATGTAAAACAGATGGTAACTGCTTTTCTCTCATTCTTTATATGTTGTGTGCAGATATCATAGAATCATGGAATGGTTTGGGTTGGAAGGGACCCTAAAGCTCATCCAGTCCCACCCCTGCCATGGGCAGGGACACCTTCCACCAGCCCAGGTTGCTCCAAGCCCCGTCCAACCTGGCCTTGGACACTTCCAGGGATCCAGGGGCAGCCACAGCTTCTCTGGGCAACCTGTGCCAGGGCCTGCCCACCCTCACAGGGGGGAATTCCTTCCTAATCATAGAATCAGAGAATGGTTTGGGTTGGCAGGGACCTTAAAGATCATATATATATCTCTATGATATATAGAGTATATATGTCATACAGATACACATATATACTAGAAATTCCACCAGTAGGCTCTCTCTCTGTAGAGTGCACTGGGGAAGTGCTTGGGTGCTGATGTTTAAAAAACATCACATATAAATATATAAACATTATACATTATATGTATAATCTCAGTAAGACAGGTTTGTAATATCCCTTTCTTATTGAGAAAGTGCTGAAGACACCTAGATGGGTACATTGAAAACTGAATGGATCATCTTATCCTCTTGCATAACATCACCTCAAGCAAGGTCTGTATCAGGCAAGTCTTGATCTAGAGCACAGTCAGCAGAGCAACCCAGCACTGAGGCCACTCCTCTGCTGGAAACAGAGCCCAAGGTTTTCCAAGCCCTTATCTGAGGGATTGGCACAGGAGTGTTTGTCTGGGCCTTTGCAGAAGAGGTCAGCATGGAGCTGTGCCAGGGCAGGGTCAGGTTGGATCTCAGGGAAAGGTCCTTCCCCCAGAGGGTGGTTGGCACTGCCCAGGCTCCCCAGGGCAGTGGGCACAGCCCCAAGGCTGCCAGAGCTCAGGGAGGGTTTGGACAATGCTCTGAGGGACAGGGTGGGATTGTTGGGGTGTCTGTGCAGGGCCAGGGGTTGGACTGGATGGTCCTTGGGGGTTCCTTCCAGCTCAGAATATTCTGTGATTCTGTGACAGAAGTGACTCCTGGCTTTGGAAATGGGCTGAATTCACCTCCCCAGTGGGGGATGTGAGAATAAACAAACAAATTCAGGCCTTTGCAGAATGGGTTTGGTTCTGTTGTAATCTTGGTTACACTTCAATTCCTCCCAACTTCATGGCACATTCCAGGCTTGCCCCTGTGAAAATAAGAAACAACCTCAGTGGCTTCCCAAAGTTTTTCATCGGCTCTTTGGAGTGCCAAGCAGTTCCAATTACTGGAGTTTGGCCCTGCAGGGAACACGCTGCTGTGCAGCTTCCTCTCCTCTCTGCCAACACATGATCCAGCCGCTGGTGTGTGGAGCAGGCTCTGCTCTGGCTCTGTTCTATCCCCAGCAAACACATGGCCCTGCTCTCCAGCCCCGTGTCCTGCCGGAGGAGCCGCAGCAGAGCCAGGGGAGCTGGGCCAGGGCTCAACTGCCTGTGCTCATCTGTGGGCAGAGCATCGAGTAAACATTGATTTTCCCTCCCTGCTGCGGGGTCAGTTGGGGATTTCAGGGCTTCACCAACCTGGGTGGAGCTGAGCCTTCATCAGATTGTCCTGCAGAGGCACCAGATCAAAGAGGAAATGAGCACTGGGAAGATAAAGCCAAGATTATTAAAAGCAGCCCCTGATTTTTGTGTCCTGGCTGCTCAGTTTGAGGAAATTTGAACGTTCTTGTTCTTGGAGATTACAGAATTTCTCTTGTGATGATTCCTCAAAGGGTTAAAGGCTTTCCAAACTCAGCTCCCTAAAAATCACTTTTCTGGGAGTCATCAGAAACAGATGTCACTCACCACAACCTTACAACACCTCAGATGTTTAAGGATATATCAGAAAATAAGCCCCAGATCTTTGTCAGAACATTGCAATATCCATATGCTATTTTTAAGTCCCAGCTCTGAGAATTAAGCAGTAAATGAAAAATTGAAGTGTCACTTTTTAAAAAGAACTTCTTTATATGTAGTTTGGAGAGATCAAGCTCGTGAATTGTAAGAAGTTAAGGGGCTGACAGTTCTGTTTGATGAAATACTCTTTGCTTTAACTGGTGACTCCTTAACCCAAAATGAGCAACACCTCCCTGCCAAGGGGCTGGTTGTAACTCAGCTCTTTGTAGCCATTTGTCAAAAATACATCCCAGCCACAACCTTCATTCATTAGCACTTGGATCTACATATCAGTCCTTCTGGAAGGGAAAATGGTGCTGGATTTTCAGACCAGCATCTCCAGGAGCTTTGTCTTCACTGCTGTGTGGAGATCAAGGACTGAGAACTCAACCTGCCACTATCCCAGGTTGCTCCAAGCCCCATCCAACCTGGCCTTGGACACTCCCAAGGAACCATAATATGTGAATAAAGGACCATTTATATGAATAATATGACCATATATATGACCAAATATGACCATTTATATTAACATATCTATTATATAAATATATATTATCAATGGTCATGACTATGAGCAATAAGGCCCCAATACATGAATAAATGACCACTTTCATGCCCATTTCTCTTTCCTCAGTCCAGAGGGAGGCAGGAAGATGCACGGCATCCCACCTGTGATCCTGCATCTCGGACAAGGCTTTGTCATCCCTGCTGGGCAGTGAAGCCAAGGGCTGGAGCACCTCTCCTGAGAGGGCTGGGGTTCAGCCTGGAGAGGAGAAGGCTCCAGGGGGACCTTAGAGCCCCTTGCAGTGCCTAAAGGGGCTCCCAGAGGGCTGCAGAGGGCCCTGGGGCAGCAGTTCCTTTGCAGATCAGCCCTCGGCCCCCTCCCTGCGTGGAGCAGGGGGGCTGGGGAGCCTGTGCCCCCGGCACGGCACTGTGGGCTTGGGCACACAGATGGGGCTGAGCCCTCACTGCTCCAGGCCCTGCAGCTCTGCGGGGCTGCTGAGCGCCGGAACGCGGGATCTGGTTACCGAACAGCCGTGTGAGAGGCGCTGGGGCTGCCCTGCCCCTCGGCAAAACCTCCTCCAGCTTCCTGCAAGCCCTGCTCCCCTCCCTGCGGGGCCGAGCCGCTCGGAGCCCTCCCGCCCGGGTGGGAGCGGGACTCGGGAGCGGTCCCAGAGCAGAGGAAATCCTGGCAGGGCCGGCACAGCGAGCCCTGCGGAGGCTCAGCTGTTGGGCGGCCTCCCCTCTGGAACGTCCCCTTTCAGCCCAGCCCCGACCTCCACTTGACCCTTCGCGATCCCGGCGGCTCCCTCTGCTCTCGCAGCCCTTCGATGCTCTCGGTCAAAGCCCAGCAGCCGCTCCCCGCCGGGAGACGCTCCCACTGCGGTCCTGCCCGGCTGTTCCGCTCCCCGCCTCCTTCAGCTTCCCGGGAGCTGCAGAGGGGACGGGGAGCTGCCACACCGCCTGCTTTATCCCGGTCACCCCGCCACGTTCCTGCCTCACTCGAGGCTCTCCCCCTGCCCAAACACTTCTGCCACAGCCGGGACCTCCCCAGCACAGATTAACAGAACATGGTTTGGTTTGTTTGCAGTTCTAATGCCAGTTACTAATTTTGTCAGATTGGAAATGGGAGAAAATGTTGGAAATAGTCTTGCATTTTCTCCTGCTTCTCATCAGTGCTGGGAGGGGCTAATAAGAAACAGAAAAACAGAAAAGCAAAGGCTTTTCCTTTCCTTCCCCCCACAGTCCAGCTCCAGAGCTTTGTTCAGGGTTCACTCTGGGTATTCCCTCCCTCTCCTGATGTCCCCAGTCTCCCACACAGCTCCTCAGTCCAGTGACACCTCCCTGGGCATCCATACTCTCCCCCACAACTCTGCTGATCTCCTACTATCAAAGTCTTACTTCCATCCGTCCCTCCATCCACCATCCATCCACCCACCCATCCATCCATGCATCCATCCTTTCATCCCTCTGTTCCTCCATCTGCATCCATCCATCCATCCATCCATGATCCATCCATCCATGATCCATCCATCCATCCATCCACCATCCCTCCCTCCCTCCCTCCCTCCATCCATCCATCCATCCATCTCCATCCATCCCTCCACTTGTCCTTCCCTCTCTCCCTTTATTTCCCAGTGCCCCTCTGCCCATAGACAGAAACCCCTCACCAACCTCAGAGCTCAAACTCCTCTTTGTGATTCATTTTTAACTTCCAGGAGCAGGATGATCCCGGTGGAGGGAGCCCAGCTTGGCCTGATCCTCATTCCTGCTGCCATGTGTGAAGAGAGATGGAGGGAGATACATCCAGGGTGCAGAGCTGGGCATGCACCAAGGGCAGCATGTCCAAAGTCTCCCCCCCTACAGGAGCCTGCAAGAAACTATTCCTCTTCCTGGACCCTAAAAAGGAGAATTATTTCCTTCCCCAGGTTTGACAGAGAGATGGGGGGTGACTGGGGAAACATCCACAGACAGATCCACCGGGGGGTGTTGGAGGCAGGAGAACTGCAGCTAAAATTAGGATCTGGCAAAACCCAACACCCAGAATATCTTTGTTTTCCCAATGCCAAAAATGTCCTTAACAAAACAACCTGAGAGCTCAGGGGCAGCATTATCTGGGCTGAGAATCCCAGGGTTTGTAGGGTCCTTCAGCTGCTCTGCCAGTAAATCCTGATGGCAACAATTCCACAGAATCCTGGTTATCCAGAGCCCAGGATGGAGCAGAGACATGGCACAAAGTCAGTTGTACACAGACCCCTGAAGCAGCAGTGCTCCAGCAATAGCAGCTGGCTCAGCCCTGGCATAGAAAGTTTATTAAGATAAATCAAAAGTGTCCAAAACCAGACTGTAAAAAATGTGTAAAAATGGAAATGGGCTAAAAATTCCATCAGACGTTTGGTGTTAATCCCACAGAGAGAAAAAATGCATGGGATGCTTTAAAGGGAATTATGTCTTAATCTGCTCAAAACAACAAAGCCCTTAAAGCAGCCTGTGGGCCATGGGGGTCTGTCTGCAGGTGGGATCCCATCCCTGGGAGTGTCCAAGGCCAGGCTGGACAGGGCCTGGAGCAACCTGGGCTGGTGGCACTGGATGAGCTTTAAGGTCCCTTCCAACCCCAACCATTCCATGATTCCATATTGGGTTTAGCTAAGAAAAGGTAAAGGAGTGACTCTGTCACAGACTCCAATGAAGATTCTGATGTTGGAGGATATTTATTTTAGCAAATAACAGAAAAACAAGAGCCAACAGCCAGGGGGAGGACAGAGGCAAATCCAGGCTGGCACAAAGAGCAGGAAAGGCTCATTGAATCCACACTGACTCCATCAGTGAAGTCCTGACACGAAATCAAATGTCTGTCTCAGCTTGACCCTCTCCCACAGCAATTCCTGCATTAAAACAAACAGCTCCTGCCACAACATGGAATTGCAGCCCAAGATAAACTGATGGTTCTGTCCCAGCCCTGCCTCGTGTCGTGTTACACTGTCAGGGCTTTGACTCAGACACAAACTCTCCTTTTTGGCTCATGTAACACCAGCTGCAAAAAGAGCCCATTCATTGAGAGGATCCCGAGATGCTCTTGCAACACACATCACGGGGAAAAGCTGTTCCTTTGCCAAGTTTGGATGGGAGCCTGATTCTCTTCTCTGGATACCAGGCTCAGACATGTCTTAACAGATCAAAGAATTATTACAGATAAGAGCAGCAACTCTTGCATTAGATAGAAGCAGCTCCTACCCTGTGAGGATAAGGAAGAGGTTCTTTATTAAATTAGTTCTTCGTTAAAAAAACGGGAATGCAGAACTTTAAAAAGTCACTTCTGAAAATAAAAGGAACTGGTGTCTTTCTTAAAAGAAAGAGGTCTGAGGAGAATACAAAGCATCTTGCACCCCTCTTGCTCACAGGACATTCATTGTCTCCCACTGGCAGAGGCATTCCCAGACTGCTGGAGAGAGGAGCCCAGGCAGAGCCACACGTGCTGGCCCCTGGCCTTGGGCAGGGAGCAGCTTTCCTGGCTCACCAAAGGGCTGCACAGGCTGTTTTCAAAAATCCAAAGTTCACTTTCCCCAGCGATGCCATGTTTTAGGACTGGTGCCTCTGCTCCTGGGCATTGGGAACAGCATCTCCCAGTTTTGGGATGTTCTGTATTTACCTGGTTAAGGGTGAAGAGTCCACCCCATACATGCAAACAAGGCACAGCCAGTGGGGTGGATCCTGTTCCCACCCCACCCACAGCATCACTCACCTGCATGTGTCCAATTCAAGGAACCCAACCCTGAACTCTCCTGCTCTGTGTCTGCCCCAGCCTGCTCATGGCACAGGGACCTGTTCCAGGGATGCCTCGAGCTTTCCTCAGAGAACTGCAGAGGATTCACCTTCCAGGGAAAGCATTCCAGGGAAGGGCAACGGAGCTGGGCCAGGGGCTGGAGCACAAGTCTGATGTGGCCCTTGGGGACACGGGTTAGTGGTGGCCTTGGCAGGGCTGGGGGAACAGTTGGACTCCATCTTAGAGGGCTTTTCCAACCCAAATGTTTCTATGATTTCGGGATCCTTGGGAAGCTTTGGGCAGGATGATGCTGGCAAGTCAGCTGAGCTCCTGAGCTGTGCTCACTCCAGCTCTCAACTGCTGGTCAGCTGGAGGAGATGAGGTTAATTCAACTCTTTCAGGTTCATTTTGTGGCTGGATATTGAGCCTCTGGACTCTGGCTGGGCCACAGAGGGGTGGAGGATGGCAGGTGGCTGCCTAGGACATCCTTCCATGTGCCACTTCGTGTCTCAAGCAGGGAGGACAAACCATCCAATCCCCTGGGGAGCTGCAGGCAGGCACGGATGGGGGACTGTGCCCCAGGTCACATTCTTTGACATTAAAGTGCTCCAAAAATGAGGCAGACAAAATCAGGTGTGTTAATGAGGCAGATCATCTGGCAAAGCACCTTGTCACCAACTGGCATCAGAGAAGGACTCCCCAGCAGAAGCTGCTCTCTGTGCACCCCCTGGTCCTTCTGTGCTGGGGGAAACCCCAAAGAGCCAACAGGGTACAGGGAACGAGCCCAAGGACAGCCCTTTGCCAGGAAACCCTCCTGGTGTCCAGCAATCTGCAGCTTTGGGACTTCCTGAGCTGGATATTGTCTCTGGGCTGGTGACCCCATGGTCACTCCTGGATTTGGGGACAAGTGCACGGGGAGGACTCAAAAGTGTCTGTGACCCCCCCAGGGCATCCTCAAAAGTGTCTGTGACCCCCCCAGGGCATCCTTCAGTGTCCCTGCACACACCAGCCCCTCTCAACCATTTCTGCAGGAATTTTTAATGCTGGAAGTGAGCACCTGGATATTTGCACCAGGAGGAGGCCCCTGCCCTGTGCCCGTGTGTGCCTGACAAACCAGCAAACCCAGCCCCAGCAAACCCAGGTCTCTTCCAAAAACAATGACATCATGTTGAAGCCATCAAGCATGTGATTTCCCAGCCCGGGGAGCACTGAGAGCCTCTCTCCAGGAGAGGGAGAGGAGCTGAGCAGGAGCCAGCCGGGATTCAGCAGGAAAGGCTTTATGTGCTCTCCAAAGGAGGTGGTGCTCGAGCAGGACCCGACCCAGGAGCTGGGACTGCCAAGGCACCACACAGGAAGCAGCTGCAGCCTTGGGAGAAGGAAAACTCTTAAAACTTCAGAGCTGTCTGGGTTCTGAGCACCCTAAAACTTCAGATCTGTCTGGGTTTTGAGCATGTTCCCTGGGAAATTGGCTTGTTTCTCTCAGAGCCATAAAAGTATGGGTGGATGTTTCCAAAGAGGGAATTTGAATCCTGGCAGAGGGGCTGCACCTGCCTGGTTTTGTGTGTTGAGAGGGTGTGAGGACATCCCACCTTGGTGAGCCCCACACTCCACACAGCACCTGGCTCCAGTGGGGACAAACAGTGCTGCTGTATGGCAGCAGGATCAGCCTTTCTTCTGCTGCCAGCACCTCGTTCCTTGTCCCATTTTCCTGCAGCCTCGTGACCCAGGAGAGGGAAGGGCAGGGCTGAGGGAGCAGCTCTGCTCAGGCGTTGAGTGCCTGGCTCAGCTCAGGTCCCACGTGGACTCTCCACAAGGATCCCCTTTGATCCTGGCACAGCAAGGAGGCTGCAGGAACGAGGACAGAGGCCACGAGAGCTGCAGAATAACTAATCCAAGAGAGGGAACCTGCTGGGAGCTGCTGCCTGAGACAAATCCCAGTCTCGGGGGGCTCAGGTGTGCTGCCCCTCGCAGAGCCCGGCTGGGAGCAGAGCTTCCCTGAAACCCTCGAGCTTCTCTTTCCTGAAAGCTCATTTCTGAGGATTAGCAGATGTCTTTGTTGCAGCCCTGGGTCCCTGCCAAGGGTTACTGTAAACACTTGGCAAGGTGCAGCCTCTTGGCACCGCGCTGGGCGCAGGAGGGGGAGCACAGGTCAGCTCCACGAGTGGTAGTTGGATGTTCCCACTCCCAAAGAGGCTGATAACTGCAAACACCCGGGCAGGGCCAACTCAGCATCCCTGAAATACCAGCCATATTTTGGTTTTCCCACCTTTCCTACCAAAGAGGGGTAAAGGGGTTAATTGCCCATCTGCTGGGAGCAGAGGTGCTGTTCCCAGACCTGGAAAATCCCACACACTGGTTGGTGTAAGGACAACATCTGCTGGTGCCAGGTGTCAGAAACAAGAAACAGCCACAATGGAAACTGGTGTCTGATCAAGGGTCTAATCTGGGCCTGAGCAGCCAAGAGTTACTGCTGTGGCACTGGGAACTGCTCACACTCCATGGCATCAGGAGAGTGACGGGAGACAAGACCTGGTGGGTGCCTCTGCTGTCATGGAATCTCAGAACAGCCTGGATCTTAGAGCCCATCCAGTCCCACCCCCTGCCATGGGCAGGAACACCTTCCACCAGCCCAGGTTGCTCCAAGCCCCATCCAACCTGGCCTTGGACACTTCCAGGGCTGGGGCAGCCACAGCTCCTCTGGGCAATTCCCACTATCTCATCTATCCCTGCCCTCAGGCAGTGGGAAGCCATTCCCTGTGTCCTATCCCTCCATCCCTTGTCCCCAGTCCCTCTCCAGCTCTCCTGGAGCCCCTTTAGGCCCTGGAAGGGGCTCTTAGGTCTCCCTGGAGCCTTCTCCTCTCCAGGTGACCCCCCCCAGCTCTCCCAGCCTGTCACTTGATCAGGATTTGGTTGCAGCCACACAGGGACTGAGCGGGAGCTCCAGAGGATTCCTCACTTAGGGATGGACTAAAGACCTGTGCAAGGTGTTTGCCCACAGCCTGCAGGCCCAGCAGGGTCAGCTCCTGCTCCCCAGCTCCAAAGGCCACACTGTGACCCCCCGTTCCAGCTCAGGGCTGCCTCTGGAGAAAACGTGTGGGTGATGCAGGACAGCCTCAAATTAACTCTTGTTTGATGCAAAACATCTTCTAGCAAAAGTCTGCTGTCAGTTCCTCCTGCCAGTGCTGAGCCTGCCAATGCCTTAACGAGCTGCTCCAACAATTAATTCCCTCCCCTGGCAGGAATGAGCCGTGTTTCCCGGCTCCACAGGCTCTGTTGGCCACCAGGCCTGGCGTGCCTTCTCCTTTTCCCTGCCAGGCAGGAGAACCCTCCAGTGTCAAAGTTCTGCTCCCCATGGGAACTGCCAGGGGTGCAGCCTTTCCTGAGCCCTGGTGGCACCAGGGCTGTGGGATCCCAACCCCACTCCAGATTTTCCAGGCTGCTGATGTAAGCTCCCAGCCTGCCTGTGGTCCCTCATCCCACCTTCTAGAGCCCAATTTCCCCATCCTAAATCCCAGTAACCTCGATCCTATCCACAGGAACTGTGTGCAGTTCTGGGCCCACCATTTGAGCAGGAGGTGAAGGGCCCGGAATGTTTGCAGAGAGGAGAACCCAGCTGGGGACAGGCTGGAAGAGCAGAGCAGGAGAACCAAGCTGGGGAGCAGTGGGAGGGGCTGAGCCTTTCGTGGTGGTACCAGGAGAGAGGGGACAGGAGGAGGAAAGAGGCTGGGGAGAGATTTCCTGTGTCTTTGTACCGGTGGCTGGTGAGTCCCTGAGCACTCTGGGTGGCCTTGCTGTGCTCAGAGCATGCCTGTGGGATGGGGACACCGGCAGGCAGACCCTGGCGGCAGGACGAGGGCAGTGCAGGGTCAGCTGCAGCCCTGGAACCCCGAACAGACCTGGGAGTTGTGGGGAGGCTGCAGGAGCCGCCGGCCGAGCCACTGCAGGGCTCGCCCACCCAACATTGGGATGGTCCCGGCTTTGTTTGGGGCACAACAACCCTGTCCCTGCTACTTTGACTCCTTCGACCTTAAACATTTTCCTCCTGCCCTTTCCTAGAGCTTCCTGCTGGGAATGCATCTCCATTACGGGCCTGGAGGACGGGACACGCCGTTCGCCACCGACACGAGCGCAGCGAGCGGCTGCCGGAGCGGAGGGTTGTGCTGCTGGACGGAGGGTTGTGCTGTGCTGTGCTGTGCTGTGCTGTGCTGTGCTGTGCTGT